TCCAAACCAGCATATCCTTTTCGAGACAATCGATGATTGTACTCAAGTTTCTCCCTAATCTGTGCATGTTGAGAATGCACAGACTCAAAGTCTTTGGATAACCTTGAAGCTACAAAGGCATCCCATTCTGCTTTCTCTATGAATTTATATACTTCAGGGGGTTGGCTTAATTTCTCCCTCTCATTGATGTATGGAAGGATATAATGCCTCGTCAGTGTAGACTTGAAATCCTTCCATTTCTTGGCAGCAGAAGATAACACCGAGGTCTTGCCCCCTTGACCTACCACAAAAGCCATGTCAACGGCTTCCCAAATCTGCTCCTTTATATCATTGGGGATGTCAGCCCATTTCTTGTCCACAAGTGGGACTCTGGAGCGTGCCAACACACCAATGTAGGACTGCATCTCAGTATGTGCAGGGCCACATCCTTTCCCCCTTTTATTGTACTCAACAACTGGCTTGATTTTCTGCAATTTTCTCTTCACAACACGAGGCATTGTGCTCATACCTCGACCTGACTTTGAATCCTCAGAAATTGTTGTCGTGCTGCTTGGTTCTTTCTCAGCAGATGAAACAAACTTCATCTTCTTCAAGGGCTTGTCTTGAGGAGTTACCATTCCAAGCTCCTTACCTCCATTTTTTTTGGAGCCAGAGTACTTACTTTGATCTTCAGAAACCATGGTTACAGAATAAAAAAACCTGCAAGTGAAAATATTTCGTGAAAAAAATTAGAACACAAACGACGGTTATTTATAAACTACGACGTATGATAATATTTTACACGACGTAATAACATAACATCAGACGTAACAAATGATTAAAGAAGAACAATATAAATGTTTAAACAACGACGAAAAAATATTAAATAAGACGTAATAAGAACTTATTACGGCGATATTTACACGACGTCGTGATATTCATATTAACACGACGTAAATATTAATATAACGTCGTGTTATGTATATTCACACGACGTGAATAATAAGCTACCGTCGTATTTATAAGAAACCAAAAACATTTTTCTTTCTTTGTGAATGTTTGATTGCAGGTTTGATTTCTCTGAAACATGGTTTTTGTTTTTCCTAATTTGATAAAATACAAAGAAAAAAAGCTTTGGCATCTTTTTATAGACGACGGTATCTTAGTATAACGTCGTGGTATGAACATTCACACGGCGTCAATAATAAGATACCGTCGTCTATATAAGATACCAAACCCTACTTTCTTTGTCTCTGTATTTTATCAAATTAGGAAAAACGAAAACCATGGTTCAGAGAAATCGAACCTGCATCTAAACAAGCAAATAAAAAATTGACCGTCATTTTAAAAACAACTTAGATCAATTTTAAGACGACGCTAGGACGACTGATGAACCGTCGTGGTCTACATATTTAACCACGTAAATAAAAAGCTACCGTCGTCTTATTTAGTTGAATTAGTTATGTTCAAAGTTGAAACATTCCCTCTCTGTCTGTGTATTTTATCAAACTTGGAAAGAATAAAAGTTATTTTCGCCAGAAAAAAGGTAAAAAGATTTTCAAAACAAAAACAGTATGAGCATGCAAAATAGCAAAAAAAATAGTGAGAAATGAAAGCTTACCTTTTGCGTGCAATGAAAGCTTTCTCTCGGATTTTGGTGTTTAAGTTCAGAGGCGACGACGAAGACAAGAGGAAGACGATGAGATACTCTGACAGTGCTCTGACAAGGAAAAAAGACGAAAAGTTTTCTCTGGGAGATTGAAATGTTTTCTCGGGTTTGGAAACAGTGCATGTGTAAGTCAGGTAGACGAAAAGTTGTATATGTATACAAACCGTTTCATAATAATAAGACGGCGGTTTACATAGAACGACGACGTATTAATAGACAAACTACGACGCTAATTTGAACTTATGACGTGGTACATAAATACGACAGTGGTGTTGTAGGTACCGCCGTAGTAAACTCCTAAATAAAAGTCGATAACTCAATATCTCGCGTCATGGTAGATATATTTAACACGACGGTTGTTTTAAAGTTACGACGTTTATTTTCATAATATACGTCGTTTTATTTTAATATACCGACGTGGATAACACTAAACTAAAACGACGTATTATTTTTCCACGACGTGGATTCGTTTTTAAACGTCGTTATGTGTAATATAACCGACGTGGATTTTTTTTATTTATTATAAATATAATTTTTTTTCCCCTTTTTCTTATAGTTTATTTTTCAAAAACAGTGCCTTATAGATATAGTTTTTTTTTCCCGAGGAAATTAATGTTCTAGAATTTGTAAAGTTTCTTTTCTAGGTGACTGATTTAAATCAAATAAAAATATAAAACAACGACTGTTTTTGTTATACCGTCGTCGTTTATTGTCGTCTTAAGTAAGAATAAAACGACGTGCTGTATTTGTTACCGACGAGGATTGTTTTTGTTAAACGTCGTTATGTGTATTATAACCGACGTGGATTTGGTTTTTTAATTATAAATAGGGTTTTTTTCCACGGGTTCTTTCAGTTTTAGTATTTGATTAGGGTTTCAACTTTTTCTTGCCGCTTTCTCTGTCTCACCTCATCTCTTGGGATTGCAAATCTGATTGCAAATCACCAATTTTCAATAAATTGTCTCTCTGATTGCAAATCTGTGGCTGCCGTCGTGAAGTTTTAGGAGGCGATTGTTTGGATGTGAATGTGTATGTGCGTTTGTGTAGATACACAAACGCACATACATCATTCACTTCCAAAAAATTGTCTCTCTGATTGCAAATCTGTGGCTGCCGTCGTGAAATTTTAGGAGGCAATTGTTTGGATGTGAATGTGTGTGTGCTTTTGTGTAGATACACAAACGCACACGCATCATTCACTTCCAAAAAATTGTCTCTCTGATTGCAAATCTGTGGCTGCCGTCGTGAAATTTTAGGAGGCAATTGTTTGGATGTTGATGTGTGCGTGCGTTTGTGTAGATACACAAACGCACACATATCATCAACTTCCAAAAAATTGTCTCTCTGATTGCAAATCTGAGGCTGCCGTCGTCAAATTTCAGAGGCAATTTTTTGGATGTTAATGTGTATGTGCGTTTGTGTATCTCAAAGACACAAATACACATACATCATTAACCTCTAAAATATTGTCTTTCTGGTAAGATTATAATGAGCAACAGATCTGGAGTTCCATCTTGTAAGATTTCCTAACCCTTGTGATCTCAGAATAATCTGATTATGTCGGCGGTTTTCTATATAAACCGTCGTGGTTATTTCAATTCTTGTCGTTAGGTAGATCTACCGACGTAGGATAACAAAATCGAAGAAATAAATTGTTAAAAAAATTCTTATTCAGACGACGGTTTAAATATAATTTATGACGTATAAAGTGGACAAATACGACGTTAAATTCTATAATACGTCGTTATATGAAAAACCCCAACTTCGTAAGATTGAAAGATGTCGTCGTAGAAATACGAGAAAGACGTCGTTATATTTACCTTTGCCGTAGTTGTACATTAATTTAATACGGCGGTATTTTGTATTTTACCGCCGTGGATTTATTTGTAATTTTACGTCGCCTTATACGAAAACTTGGTCGTGTTAATTTCTGGGTAAAAACGACGGCTTTTTGTGAAACCGTCGTCTTTACTTTCTACGTCGGTCGGTTCATAACTTCCGCCGTTATTTGTTGGCTACGATTTTACCTCTTGAAAATCCTATTTCAATAAGACGTCGGTTTTTTAATTAAGTACGTCGTGTTTTTGGAACAGCCATTTGAAACTCCATTTTTAAGTTGTATAATGTGTTATTACACGGCGGTTTTATAAAACCGTCGTCTTTTAAAAAACAACGACGGTTTTCACGTAGACCGTCGTGTTTTTGTGGTCGTCTTTTTCACTTTTTGTAGTAGTGACTCATAGTTCTCACCAGAGAAAATTGGGATTCTAGCCTCTAAGCTTCCAGATCCAGCCATTTTGAATTTCAGATGTACCTGGAAACAAGTTGTTTTCAGATCGACAATAGATCGAGCTCAATCAGCTTCGTGAGCTATGAATGAGCTTCACCTCGATCGATTTTCTTCACAAAAAACGCCCAGCTTCAGATAATCGAACCTGGCTCTGAGGCCATGTTAGTGTTTTTGTGAATCTGTATGTGTATTGGTAGAGAACAAAAACAAGGAGAGAAGAAAAGCTTAAATCCAAAACTCCTCTGCTATACGTGTAGCAGAGAGAACATTCTCATTTCTCTTCTGTAAGAAATCTGTATAGTACAAACACACACACTTGGTGTGAGGATATATCCGTTAGGCACAATGGCAGCTGGATGCATTACATCACAATGCAATCTCAGCCATCCACAAACTAACCAATCAAACTATGACACTTGGATTACAAAATAAAACAAACAATAAGAAAACTAAACGTATCTAATTTATGAAATCAGCTTGAGCACTTATAATTCAACATAGCAAACAAGAGTCTCAGAGACGAGAGAAATACATAATTTGCACAGATTCAAGAATTTCATTATAATGGGCGCAAATTCAAGAGAGTTCATATCTTAAAACCTCAACAACTCAGTTTTTCATATCATTTTTTGATTAGATGGAATGCAATGACTTTGTCACACTCATTAGAAAATGATTACAGGAGTATTTCAAAATAAAATCAGTATTCTTCAGGTACAATTAAATGCTTATACCATTCATACCCCAATTTTGACAATAGGAAACTTGATAGTTGCACCTCCAGCTTTAGGTCCTAGTGTTTTTACTTCATTCTTCAGCACCCTAATTAGACATGGCAAGGTGCAGCACAGTGTTCATCAACTGAGCTCTCACTAATACTGCTTAACTTTCAAAAACTTTGAAATGAGAAATCAGATATTTGAAATATAAAACATCAACAGTTTTTTAAAACTAACATTAGCTTTAAAGTATTTTAAACCATAAAAAGCAGCTATAGATATCAAATTTCTGACTCTGAGAACGCAACTGAAAGCAATTACAAAGTCTAAGAGACAACTCGCATCATCTGTGTACACAATCAAGACACTTCTTAATGCTCTTAGTGCAGAAAGCTTCGAACTTGTGAGCAACACCATTGAGTTTGCAGCCTTCATGTGATTCAACACGTTTGAGATCAAACAAGCATGCATCTTTTCCGGTTATAAAAAGATCAGCATCATCTTTATGTTGGTAAATCTGAAAAACATTTTGATTCCATGAGGAACTTAGAGAGTTCTTTGAATGGTCCAGCACTGACTTCACAGCCTTCAAGCTCTCCCTGTAGATGATGATAAAGATCACTGAGTATCAAATAGTTTGGCACCTTCCCTGCACCGGAAAAAGATAATATATTCTTCATATGCAGCCAAATGCATAATATGTGTCATTTATTGCTTCCATTTCAACATACTCTTATGAGAGATACACATGTTATTTTTTTGAGAATAGAGAAACACACGTTATTAAAGGAGTATTAAGTGAAACAGAACATACGACAGATCACATATGATCTGTTAAACCCTATGCAAATTGAAGCCATCCAAACTTATGGTTACATGCAATGTTTTAAACAACCCGTGCTTCATAGCAAGGAGCTGGAATCTTGAGCTTCTGTCTTTGTTATGTTTTCAGGTGAAGGACCTTCTACACTAGAAATTACCGAAATAAAATTGGACAATTTTTTCCAGAAATTTTCAGAGCTTTTAAGGCATTCCAAAATATTAGTGTACTGTTTCATAAAATCTGAAAAAATGTACTGAGGAGCACCTTGCCACAACAATTAAAGTAGGAAATTTTGGTAGAAATTAAAGAACTGTAATATAAACTTTTAATGTAAAAAATGTTGTACATACAAAATGAATACTGATCAGCCAATTAGTCACTTCACTGTTCACCAACTCCAAAAATCAGAATTTACAAAAGTAACTACATGTGTACATAGGTGGGAAGAATAGGACTATGAATGTGAGGAGCAATGGTAGACACAAGGTGCTGCAACAGGAAAGCATGGGCAACGGAGGATCACAAGCACGGTCTTCCAATAATGCTGAGGAGAAGGCTGAAAGGAAGGCACGTGAATAACCACAGGAGGTGCTTTCACAATTGTTGGGCTAATTCCATACAAACAACCTCGGGACATCCTAGCTACAAACCTAAACGTTGCGTCATCTTGAAGAACACAACGGCAGTCAACAAACTATCCGAGCCAGCTTGATGAGCTTCACCAGAACGCTCCACATCAAGATGATTGGCCACCCTTGCCAATCCAATTTCACCTCCAAAGAATCCCTGGCAGTAGTGAGCCATGAACTTGACATCATAAACTCCTCAACATAAATCCCAAATTTCCCAAGTTCTACAAAATCAAGACCATTCCTTTTGAGTAGAGAAATGGAAGCTACAACATGAGGCTCATATTTCTCATTGAACCCAGACAAGTGGAATTCCCAGGTTCCCCCAATGTGGCCATGGACGTTAGACAGAGTGAAACCCAACTGCAGCAATTTGAGCGAATCAACATTGAATTTGACATCTTGGTATCGCTTATCTTCGAGTGCGTCTCAAGGAGTGTCTCGGAGAAAGCCTGGAAATTCGATATCGAAAGAGATGACAGGGAAGCAGTGCAGGTAGTGATCGAATTGACAATTCTTAATGGAAGTTGTGGTCCCAAACTCCTCTAATCTTCATGACTACCAGTAGCAGTGTGAGAACAAAAGAGATAGAGCAAGACAGAGAGATGGGTTTGAAATTGAAGGGAAGAGAAGGTATTTATAGGCATTGGCGGAGTCATGAATTTTTTAGCGGAGATGCAATTTTGGCTAGGATTTATTTTTATATAAAAAAAAACGCATTGTGCAACAGCCAATGGCTAATCCATGAATTTTCATTACAGAAGTCAACGTGTGAAAGATTAAAAAAATTTCTATACAAAATAGACCCATTGAAATGAAACAATAATATTCTAATGCATAGTTAATAGATAAAACCATACAAAATACTCATGTTTATTATCAAAGAGAACTGCATCAACTTCAAAAAATTAGACACACATTGCAATAAACTAGAAAAATTAGTGCAATCCTCTTCGCCTCCCAAGCGTCTCGTCATATTTGACATAAGAGCTGACATATATTAGCGCAATCCTACTCATTTTTGGTCATTTACGTCATTTTTGAGGTCTGCTGTCGTTTTGATTTTGGGCTTTATCAGCATTTCTTTTGGGCTCTAGCTTTCAAACTTTGGACCCTTATGAGTACTGTCTTAAGGGGAGCTTATTCAAGAGTTAGATTTTTGTTTCAGATTCAAGAGTTAGGTTATTCTTGTAAAATTCTTTGTGGATTGAACACTTAAGGCTTTTTACCTAGATAACCTTAGGTCCCTTCATGCATTCATATCATACACGAAAAATTGTTTTATGTAAAATGTAAAAATATTAGCTAAGTATGAAAAATGGTTTTTCGGAATAATCATTTTCTCAAGATAATTTTTGGCGGCTTTTATTCCATACACATTAAATAAGAAAACTTGATTTTATGGGATTTTAGTATGAAATATATAGACTTAATGAGCCATCATTTTTAGCCTAAAATCGTATTTTGCAATAAAATTGATTTTTCATATTTTGATTTGGTGAGAATTTGATTTTCTAGTATTTTTATTTGAATCCAAAATGGGAGTACTTTTTTATTTACATTGTAAACTTAAGTAAATGAAGTAATATAAAAATAAATGAAAGCACCATGGCATAACTTGTGGTGCCTCACTCTGCGCACCATAATTGATGAACTGAGAAAATCGAGCTAAAATTATTTGTTCAGCAGCCATCTGTTAGTGTTATAGTTCCACCACTAACGGATGAATAAGATCAAGTGAATAAGATTCTCTCAAACTTCTCCCAAGTCATCAAGGATGGTGACCACCTTCTTTTTATGTTCGTCTGCACCTTCATCTTGACCGTTGTCCGTGTACTTCTGTTTTCTGGGAATTTGTTCCGTATTTAAGAACTCAGTTCGACAGAGCTTGATATGAAAGTACAATCTTTGTGATCCAACTACTAGCTGCAAGGTTTTGAACTATCCTAGTTATGCAAATATCATCAAATAAAGATCTCACACACTCAGGAACCTCCTGCGGTTTTAACAATGCACACTGATGAAGCCTTTCCAAACCAGACACTGCCTCACCTCAAGAGAAAACACAAAAGACAATTCCTAACTACTTGCTGCTAATATACACACACAGTTTATACCTTGCAAGCACTCAAAAAAATTGCTTCTTTGCATGCTCATGCTCAGGTAGGTAGTACCCATAAGCATAAGTCCATTTCAGCACTCTCCTACACTCAACAATCTACGAACACGGAAGACAGAGGCAAAACAAAAGTTGTCAGCATCTCATGGCAAAACAAAATTTGTCAGCATTCCATGGCAAAGCAAATATAATCTGATCTTATAGCTACACTGTGCACTATAATTCCTTTCATATATTTAAAAGAAAATAAATATTTATATATCTAACAAAAATGATGGTAGTTCACCACCTGCCAGGTATCAGTTATGAACTTGAGCTGAGACTCAGCTCCTCGCTGTATGTCACTAAGCTTCTCCATCTGAGAAAAAAACAGCCAGGATATCAATAAAGTTAATACAGAGTACTTCATACAATTCCATGATAGCTAGGGAAGTAACACCTCTAAATTCAGGCTATCAGTTCACATGAAGGGGTTTCTGTGCAAACACAACTACACCTCTAAATTCTGAAATCTAAAGGTCCAAAGTGGAAACACATAAAACCTCATGTTTGTGTTGTTAACCTTAAACTAAACGTTCCATACACCATAACATTCCAAATCTGCAAAAAGTTTTAAATATGGTTCTAGTTCCACAATATGTTTTGAACACATTTGTTGTTGGAAATATGAGTGCTAAATTGCTATAAAATAAACAAAATAAATACTGCACATAAAATAGATTTTTACAAAAAGGAGAATTGAATTAGAAGAACCTTAATTGAGTGGAGGCAAGTGTTGGACACTCTGACCTTAAGATGAATTACGCCCTACACTGGTGCTTATGGTTCACTAGCGTTTGCCTCCTAGGATACAACGACTCCCCCCCTTATGAAAGAAGCACTGCAATTCACAAGGAACTTTGAACCAAATTATGCAAGAACCTCTCTTTATGAAAACTCTAATGCTCTCTACATATGAAAGTCTGTATGTAGAGAATTAATTGAATGAATAAAACTGCAAGAGGATTGCTCTATTTATAGATGATGAAATACCTTTTCCAAAAATGTATCCCAATCTGAAAAGGCAAACAATGCATCCCTTGGTCTGAAGAGTTGTCACCCCCAAATTGAAGATGTCTTTAACCCAATGGATTTTATTAATTTCCATTCAAATAGAAAATTAATATTAAATAAAATAATATTAAATTTCTCACATTTGTTACCATCTACTCCATTGAAGAATGAAGATAGTAAACACATGAACCCATTTCTGTATGTATGTGCGCATGTAGAAATTTTTTCTGCAAGTACAGATACTTACATTTGCAAAGGAAGGCCAAAAAGATTTTATTGAATAATTAAACGAGAATAGGACATTTGTATAGGTCCACCAAGAGCAACATTAAGACTTAGACAATTAAATCCATAAAACAGAAGAACAATGCACAGGCAAATACTACAAATTCAGGAGGCTTCCATACTTTTATGTAGTTGACCCAAAAAAAAACATAGCGAGGGTACTATAACAGTAAGAAAAGAAATGAATGAATTCAAAGCATAGCAGAACAAACAGAGGAAATTTTGAAAAGAGAATTGTGAATACCAACTGATTTCTTGCCCAACATTCATAATAATGAGTGTATCTCTCCAGAGAATGCTTTGCCATTTCTCTTCTTCTCTCAGTTTCATCATACTACAAGCCACAATACATACTCTTATAAACAGAAGAAAAAGAGAACTAAGCTTCCAAAAGGCAAAGAAGAAGAACAAATCCTCAGAATGAGCAAAAAGAAACTGTAAAATCCTTACAACTCCCTTTTTATTAGCTGCTTCATAACGGTTACAAGCATAGAAATCATCAGTCCTCTCACCATGATCTGACCATGCACCAAGGCATAGCCTGCAACATACATATAATTAATTTAGAACCAGATATAACTTAACAATATAAGAGCATAAGCAATCCTGAGTGTCATCAACGAAAGTTACCACAGAACAACAGAAGACGATATATGAAATACCTTCGCTAATAGATGCTCTAATGTAGCCTACCACAAGAAGAACAAAAGAATTATATCCGGAAAACCATAAAGCATGGCAATGGAAAGAAAGATAAAACATCTAGCAACAGATCATGGCAAGAAACAGATTATCATGGGATTAAAATACTATGGGTGTTCAGAAAATGGTGGAAAGAATGGGCAAAAAGTAGTAAACAATAGTTTGTTTATACAAAATGATTGGTGTTACATTTTGTGGAAAGGGGAAGGGGGATCAAGGGAAATTTTATACAACTAAAGACCTAAAGACAGAGCGTTAAAGAGACTTGCAATTCCAAGGTCACATTCTTCATATTCAAAACAAGAGCTTAAGATGTAAGTTTCTTGTATCTGAGCCAGAAACTAGGTAAAATACAACTAATTTACTTTGGCAATAAAAAGAAATAAAGTAGGAAATTTTGAAAGAAATTAAAGAATTGTATTATAATCTTTTGGTGTAAAAATTGTTGTACATACAAAATGAATACTGATCAGCCAGTTAGTCACTTGACTGCTCACCAACTCCAAAAAATCAGAATTTACAAAACTAACTACATGTGTACATAAGTGGGAAGAATAAGACTATGAATGAGACGAGCACCGTAGACACGAGGTGCTGCAACAGGAAAGCAAGGGCGACGGAGGATCACAGGCATGGGCTGCCAGTAACGCTGAGGAGAAGGAAAATAAGAAACAGTGAATTCAAAGAACAAATGTTGGCTGAAAATTCTCATGCGACAATCATGAATGGCCACGGATTTAAGAAATCTTCTGTCATAGAGCCACAACCTTTCTCGAACGAAATATATACAAAAGGAATGGCTAAAAGAAATGGCACAATTTTATATGCCTGTGGAATATTTCTAAAGCCATTGATTTAAGGCAATACACACTAGTTTTTACATTTTTCTTCCAAAGCCTACAGTTTTAATTTTTCACCTATATGCACAACAATTTATCTCACAAAAACTCTTCGGCCTGTAACAATCCAGGATAGATAACCGGCGTTATTTGTTTCAAGGACTTCACAGATGATTTGAGGAAAGCATGTCTCTCCGTCGCTACAAAATATATCTAGGAGAACGCATGGTGTTTACCTGTTGTTAAAAGTTCTTTGAAAAATCCTCCTGACGCCCTAACACAGGTCTTATCCGCATATTTGTAGAACACAAAGTTCCAAGTGCAAGGCCATCTCCATTATTTGTAGCAATAAACAACAGATAGTCTGCACTTCTATTTGAATCTCATTTGATCTTTAATCCCCACACAGCTCTGTAGTAATGGTAATTGCTTGATCCTAAATCAGAGATAACATATCAACCTCAAAAAAGAAAGTCACCTCGACACTTAATTTTATTTGAAGACCAGATACTTTTTGCATAATGAAACAAATCAAAGCCACACCTTGGGACATCTCAAGATCTTAAAAGATTAGCCACAAAAAAATAATAATTAAAGAATAAAAATTGTCATCTTATCTGTAAGCCATGTAAGATTTCAGGCATTGGAAGCTCAGTAAAATGGTCAAGATCAACAAACCCCACCTCCTCTGCCCTTCTAGCAGCACCCTCAGCTTGTAAACAGAGGAACTTCAAAAGAAGAAAAGTAATTCTGTAGATCTGAAGGACAATAGTGTCGGATAAGTATGACTGAGACACACTATTTTCAGTTGATTGAGTTTTAATAGCCAGCGCAGTTGTGGTAGAGACGGCAGAGAATTTTGATTTTGACACACAACTGAATGGTGAAAGGGCAAACCATCCGCTTCTACTGTCGACAAACAATGGTTTCTTGCAGCCATTGAATTCCTCTTTAAGGATAGGAGGACATACAAGAGGAGCATTAAGACTAGAAGATTCTCCAAGGTGTTGAGTTCCCCGTCTGATAAAGGCCAAAAGATGGATACTTTTCTCTCTTAGCTGGGAGTCCATTTCTTTCATGGCCTTAACCCATGAATTCCAATGTTTTGCTAGCATGCACATCAGAATGAGAGTGTGCTCAGTTTCTTTAAAGATCAGTAAGAGAAGTTTCTCTGCTGAGCCTGAGGTCTTTTCTTGTCATGACCATCAGATGGGAAACACTGGAGCACTCAGATAGTAAGAAATCATATAGGCTTTCTCTGAAAAGAAGTGAGGTATTACATTCTCCACAACATCAGAACAAGCAGAACTGTCTCGTAAAGACTGAACCATATCTGTAATGACTGCCAAACCAAGTCCCCAAATTTGCTGAGGCTTCTCAATTTTTTCAGTTGAGTTGGGATTTCTCGTATTAATACAAACGTAAGAAGACCTACCGTCCAAGTAGCAAACAAGAGTCTCAGAGATGAGAGAAATCCATTAGTAATAAGCATTTCTGCACCACGCTTCACACGGGCAACAGTAAAAAGAACTTCATTATAATGGCCACAGATTCAAGAGAGTTCTTATCTTGAAGCTTCAGAATAACATGCTGAAGCTGGAGGTGATTTTGTATAATATGGAACCAAGTGTTGGGAGTTAAGAATTTCTCAGTATCAAGTCCATAGTATTTAGGGAGAGGGTGCCATGCTCAGCAGTAGCAGTACAATAGGTAGTAGACCAAGACTCACATTAGTTATTTTAGCCAGGTCTCAACAGATATCATATCTCTTGCCCCAACCAAATGTGACTTATGACAACTAACCTCCACTGCCGAGAGAAGAAACATAAGATTGAGCTGCCAGAACCTGATGTGTTTAGTACAAGAATTCAAACAGACAAAGACAGGCTTTTATGTGCATACATCATAAGATAGAGAAGCAACTCTGCTTAGATCATGTGATTTCTTCCAACACAAAATTGGGGCATTCACTATATGTTAAAACCTCAACAACTCAGTTTTGCGTATCATATTCTTGAATAGATGGAATGCAATGACTTCGTCACACACATTATAAAATTATTACAGGAGTATTTCAAAATAAAATCAGTATTCTTCCGGTACAATTAAATGCTTATACCATTCATACCCCAGTTTTGACGATAGGAAACTTGATATATCATGAGAGTTCCACCTCTAGCTCTAGGTCCTAGTGTTTTTGCTTCATTCTTCAGCACCCTAATTAGACATGGCAAGGTGCAACAGTGTTCGTCAACTGAGCTATCACTAATATTAACTTTCAAAAACTTTGAAATGAGAAATCAGATATTTGAAATATTAGACATCAACAATTTTTTAAAACTAACATTAGCTTTAAAGTATTTTAAACCATAAAAAGCAGCTATAGATATCAAATTTCTGACTCTGAGAAAGCAACTGAAAGCAATTACAAAGTCTAAGAGACAACTCACATCATCTGTGTATACAATCAAGACACTTCTTACTGCTCTTAGTGCAGAAAGCTTTGAACTTGTAAGCAACACCATTGAGTTTGCAGCCTTCAAGTGATTCAACAGGTTTAAGATCAAACAAGTACGCATCTTTTCCGGTTATAAAAAGATCAGCATCATCTTTATGTTGGTAAATCTGATCAGCATTTGTTCTATAAGGAGCTGAGAGAGTTCTTTAAATGGTCCAGCACTGACTTCACGGCCTTCAAGCTCTCTTTCTAGATGATAATAAAGATCACTGAGTATCAAATAGTTTGGCACCTTCCCTGCACTGGAAAAAGATAATATATTCTTCATAATGCAGCCAAATACATAATATTCATTTATTGCTTCAATTTCAACATACTCTTATGAGAATAGAGATACACATGTTATTCTTTTGGGAATAGAGAAACACATGTTATTAAAAGAGTATTAAGTAAAACAGAACATACATGCAAATTGAATCCTCCCAAACTTTGGCAATAAAAAGAAATAAAGTAAGAAATTTTGGCAGAAATTAAAGAATTGTATTATAATCATTTGGTGTAAAAGATGTTGTACATACAAAATGAATATGGATCAGCCAGCTAGTCACTTGACTGTTCACCAACTCCAAAAAATCAGAAATTACAAAACTAACTACATGTGTACATAAGTGGGAAGAATAGGACTACGAATGAGACGAGCACCGTAGACACGAGGTGCTGCAACAGGACTAACTACATGTGTACATAAGTGGGAAGAATAGGACTATGAATGAGACGAGCACCGTAGACATGAGGTGCTGCAACAGGAAAGCAAGGGCGACGGAGGATCACAGGAGCGGGCTGCCAATATCGCACGATTGTTGGGCTAATTCCATACAAGCAGCCTTGAGACATCCCAGCCACAGACCTAAACGTTGCGTTCATCTTGGAGAACACAGCAGCAGTCAACAAACTGTCAGAACCCGCTTGATGAGCTTCACCGGAACGCTCCACATCAAGAAGCTTGGCCACCCTTGCCAATCCAATTTCACCGCCAAAGAATCCCCGGCAGTAGCGAGCCATGAATTTGACATCATAAATGGTGCCAAAAACTACACCAAGAGCCTTAGCATACATCACCACTGAATCGGGCAGAGGCTTTTGGGTCAAGAGCTTGAGCAAATAGGCCAGGTCATAAAGGCCATGAAAGCAAACCCATGTTAAATCATGCAACCCTCTGTGGATTCTAAGGACACGCAGAAACCCGAACACAAACTCCGTAACAGAAATCCCAAATTGCCCAAGTCTCGCAAAATCAAGACCGTTCCTTTTGAGTAGAGAAATGGAAGCGACAACATGAGGGTCAGATTTCTCATTGAACCCAGACAAGTGGAATTCCCAAGTTCCCCCAATGTTGCCATGGGCGTCGGACAGAGTGAATCCCAACTGGAGCAATTTGAGGGATTCAACATTGAATTTGACATCTTCGTAACGTTGATCTTCGAGTGCGTCTCGGGGAGTGTCTCGGAGAAAGCCTGGAAATTCGGTATCAAAAGAGATGACGGGGAAGCGATGCAGGCAGTGGTCGAATTGAGACAGTTCTTGATGGAAGTTGTGGGCCCAAACTCCTCTGATCTTCATGACTAGCAGTGTGAGAACAAAGAGCAGAGAGCAGAGAGCAGAGAGAGCAGAAAGCGAGCACAAAGTAGAGAGCAGAAAGCAGAGAACAACAGAGGGATAGAGCGAGCGAGAGAGAGAGAGAGATGGGTTTGAAATTGAAAGTGAAATTGAAGGGAAGAGAAGGTATTTATAGGATTTCATTCCTAGAGCTATTAGGATTTCTTTCCTGAAGCTATTAGGAAACCCAACTCTGCTTTAACGCGGTTGAACTTACCGTTGCGAATGCTAACCCTAGGCTGGTTTCAAAAGAAGCGTTAATTTACTAAAATACCCCTAATGTGAATTTTGCCTAAAAAATAAAAGTAAGAAAAAGAACAACCTGTAATTAATTTGGTGGTGTCGCAGGTTTCTTTCGCTACGAACGAAGGAAGCCAGCGTGAGCTCGTCTCCTCCATCATCTTCTTCATCTACTTCATCCCTCCTCCCACCATTCTCTCTCTCTCTCTCTCTCTCTCTCTCTCTCTGTGTTCTCTTGGACAAAACGACTTCACTTTGACAAGCAAATGACTTTTCCTTTCCAATTCTATGGGCCTTCTTTTTTGTTGGGGTCCAATTCTATGGGCTTATTTTTGGGCATTATTTCCAACAAATTCTTTTCATAATTGTCGTTCATTATATTTATTAGTGTTTCATTATTAAAAAAAATATCGGGAACAAATCAATCAGAGAATTTAATTTAATAGCCATATTGAAACACGAGTTTTAAACAGTACATTTCATTACTATTCCATGCTGTAGTAACAATAGAAAAGGGAAGATTCAACTTCTCTCCTAATCTAGTTTCTTAGTGTATTCCGATTACTTAATTACCTCTCAGAATCTAGTTTTCAAATGTAACCCGATTCTTGTGAGCCTTAAGATTAAGCTTTGAACTCATTGCGTGATTTGGTTAAAATTTTGAGGAGATTAGATTAGTAAAGACACTGGATCAGAAAATGGTAAGCTTCTTCTCTTCATATAACTAATAGGAGTTTTGGAGTAATATTTAAAGGTGTTCTTACATTAATTTTGGAGTAAAAACTATTATCAGCTTTTTATAATCAAATTTTCAATATTGAATAGTTTATTATTCTTTTGTTAATTTACGTTGACAAAATAACTTAAATTTAACATTTAATTGATTTATTATTTATTGGTTTATCATTTTCTTAAATTTCACTTATTTATTTATTTATTTATAGAGTGTTGTATCACAAATGGTATCTAAGCTTCCGTTAAATTGCTTAGGTAGAATGTCCGTGGATTAAAATATATATATATATATATATTAGAAGTTTTAAAAATCGAAAAAATCATCTCTAAAAACAGTATTTATAAAAAATTAGATGTGGAATTTGGGTGCATGAAAGTTCAACCTAAGAGCAAGCCCAAAAAAGTTGGGCAGAGCTCCATTTAAATCTCCAATTTAATATTTAAAAAAAGTGTATTTCCAATGGTTGAAGCTCTAAAATCAAAAGGAAAAAAAAATTTAATATTAAATGGCATTCAAATATGCAAGTGGGGACAATTTTTGCTGTATTAAAAAGGGTAATACTAAATGAAAAGTTTAATTTCATTTGGGGCAAAGTCTGCAATTACAATTGTGGGAACCGAATTAAATCATACCCTAAGTCAAATAATTCCTTCCATTTGGGGATTATTTGACCTAATTGAGAATTACTCAACTTAATTGGGAGTTACTCAATTTAATTGAGGATTACCTAATTAAATTGAGAATTGATTTGATTCCTACCCCAATTCCCAATTAAATGAGGAGTTACCTAATTAAATTATGATTTGATTTGATACCTACCACAATTAGGGATTTGATTTACCCTAATAAATCAAATCCCTAATTAATCAAATCAATTCCAAATCGGGAATGAATAATTCCTTTCCATCTACGGAATTATTCCTCTGAAACCCTAGCCTCCGAGACCACTATAAAATGATGGTCACACACAAAGGTTAAGGTACGTCTAAATTCCTACTGAAACTCTGCAGAAATTATTTCTCACAAACTCTAGCCACCACATTCGTTCTCTCTCTGACACAAGGCTCCGGCCACTCGGTTTTCCTTAAAATACCCTACCTAACTTAGGCATCGGAGGGCCTTTGGCCAACACCCCCCGGGTGTGGTCCTTTTACCCCGATTTGTTTTCCAAGGAGAAAGAGAAGTGGAGAAGACGAAGGAATCTTCGACGAATATTCTAACGGGACGAAATTTGCTCTCACAACGAAATTTTCTCCCACAACAATAATACAGTAATACAAAACATTGTTGTCTTTTTTCTTTTTTCTTTTTTTATGTAGATATGCACAAATATATATGTGGTATGAAAAATAGTTTCACATATGTGAAAAATTATTATCTTTATGATCTTCTATAACACTAACGTGAAACAGAAGTTGGAGCGTCGTGGAACTTCTTCGCATGATTTTTATTTTTTTTAAGGTTTAGGGTGTTTTGGAATTATGGTAAAGTGGTAAGGGTATTTTTGAAGGTATTAAGGGAAAAAAGAAATGGGAATCGGATCGACTACCCACTAGTTGATTTGATTCATGTGGGGATGTGACTACAAATTTTGAGATAGGGCCTGCATATTTTTTCATTTCTGATTGCAAGTAAACGTCAGGGAAGTAGGAAATCAAAATAATTCCCTTTCCTCCCATACTCATTACTGATACATAAACATGCCTAAAGTGTTAGGAACGGCAGCATTCATTTCAAACAAGCAATTCTTCTTTATTTTTGTCCTCTGATTTTGGATTAACATTGGCATAAACCCTCCAACAATTAAGGGCCACATCATGAACTTGTCATTCTGCATAATGCTAGTGGCCTCTAAAACCCATTAATTTTCAAACCTAACAAAATCTTTAATATGACATGTGCGCACTCTCTCTCTCTCTCTCTCTCTCTCTCTCTCTCTCTCTCTCAAAAGAGTAAGGCTGAATTGATTACATTAGTAGTTAATTATGTGATAAAGCCTTTGACCAGTTAGTATATATGCATTTTCATATAATCTATAAGGTTTCAACTTCCACTGTATATTATGCAATATAACTGGTAATTTATGTGTCGAACAAACCCAATAAACCCATTTTTCCTGATTTTTCAGTTGTTTCAGTTGTGTTATTTCTGTGTTGAATTTAACCACATGAGGAGGTCTTATAATTATTGGGCTGATTAGTATTCCAATTCAATTTTTCTAATATAATATTGATAAGTGGATAACAATTTCTATTAGAGCATCCATAATAGACTCCCTAAACCACCTCCTTAGATAAAATTTAAGGAGGAAGTAAGAAAACCCACCTTCAACCATGCTCCCTATCCAACTCTTAAAATAAGGAGACCTCTAGGAGCTCCTAAATCTGAGGAGAGAATGAACTCCAGGTGGCTCCCTATAATTTAATGCTATTTTATTTAATAAATATTTTAAAACCTCTAATCAATATTGTCTATTTTTATATTATTTTTTCATAGAGATGGACCATTTATGTTGAATTAAAATATAATTCTAGCATTTATGACTCCCTAAACTAGAGAGTATGATTGAAGTTGAAATTTTATAAAGAGCTCCTAAAATAACTTTTATGTGTTTTTAGCTAAATTTTAACTAAAAAAATAGAGAGCATGATTGTAGATGCTCTTAATACTAAAAACTTGTAAAATCAAATCAAAAAGAGAAAAGAAATTATCACGTTTGTCATCATGCATTTTCATATAATATGATAGATTGCTTTGAAATTGTCATGTTTACAATTAAGGACCAGATGATGAACTTATCATTGTGCATAATGCTAGTGGACACTAAAACCCATTATTTTTCGAAGCTAACAAAATCTTTAATATGACATGCGCGCACACACACTCTCTCTCTCAAAAGAGTAAGATTGAATTGATTACATTAGTAGTTAATTATGTGATAAAGCCTTTGACCAGTCATTATATATGCTTAAGGGCACCTCCAACGCAAGCCCCAGCCTGGGCAAATGGCAGCCCAAGGCCCCAAACCACCCTCCAACGCGCAAGGTCCAACTCAAGCAAGGCATGGGAACCCCAGTCCGGGCAAGCCCACAGGAAAAAATCAACTGTGTTGTTACCTGAAGGCTGCTGACGTCAGCCGTGACGTCACGCTGACGTCAGCGTTTGATAGAAACCTACTTGAAGAAGCCATGTGGCACTTCCCGAACGCTTAAATCAAAATTTATTTTTTTTTAGAAATCCGAAGGATATGATTTTTTATTTTTTAAATACCAAAAAATTCTAGATTTTTTCCCTATAAATACCTAACAATATTATTCACTTTCCACACCAGATCTTCATACAAATTCTTCTCCTTCTAATATTTTTTACTTTCCACTCAAATTTTTCTACTGCTTTCCATTTGTATCAAAAAACAAATGGCCTTTTCCATCAAAGCTAGAGGCGCGTGGACAACTAAGGAAGATTTTGTGTTGTATGAGTGTTGATATTGTGTTGTATGCAAATGCGATATTTTGTTGTCAACTTTCATTCGTGGGCTTTATGCTTGTAGTAAGTTATATATATATATATATATATATATATATATATAGAGCAAAAGACAGAGAATGGTAAAACATTCAAAATACCAGAAAATATCTTTGGTGAATGCAAATATTGAGAATTGAAATTATTAATTAAATGAGGATAATATGGTAAATTCACACTTTTTCATATTTAAAAAAATTAAAATTAAAAAGAAAAATCAAATAATGGATCATATTTTTATGGAACACAACTACCTATTATCTTTTTTAATTCTAAAATAATTTTTTAAAAAAAAAGAGCCTCTCACAGGTGCTGAAGTGCGGAGAGGCTAGTAACTTTTATACCTCATTTTTTGAGTTTATGATGGTGTAACTAGCTTTGGCTTTTTCAGGGACGAATGCAGCTACTAGGTTGTATGGGCTATAGCCCATGCCAATAAAAATTTGATTTTTAAATGTGATGT